GAGATGCACCCATTTTGCAGCTGAATTTGTTATACATTAAACTTGGAAATGTAAAATTAATGTTGTATGAAAAAGGCTTCTATTATTTAAAGATATGACCATCTTATCTTTCCATAGGACTTTCATTCATTTCATTCCCTTGTTATGTGGCAAGCACTGTTTTAGGTGCTTGGGAGAGATACATCAGAAAAAGATCCCTGTCCTCATGAACTTGTAACCCAGCAAATGGAGAGATATGGAAAGACCAGAAAAGTACACATAATAGATAAATATATTGTATGATTAAGTACCATAGCTAAAAAGGAAAGTAGAACACGGTGAAAGAGACTGGGAATGGGGGGTGGTGGGCAGGTGGAGGGGTGCATTTTAAAATAGGCTGGTCAGGGTGGGCTTCACTGAAAAGGTGAGAGATGAGGACATGAGTCTCAGGTCAGTCTGAGGGCAACAGACTGCAGAGGAACAACCAGCTTACATAAAGGGACGAGGTCCTAAACTTTCATATTTATCGGAGGGAATTTACTCATCAAACTGGGTTTTAATATAAGGATATATAATCATTTAGTAGATGTTATATATTTTTACTTCAAAATTCTATTAATTTTCTCAAACAGTATGCAGATAATTGAAACCAACCAACTCATCAGACTGTAGGCCTATCTTATGGAATATTGAATATTTTTCTCTGTCCCTTTAAATATGAGGAAATTAGAGATTTCTGCTTTTTGTGGACTTAAAAGTCATTCATCCAGAGTTTGGTTCAAAGTTAAGGATAGCCATTTTCTTCATGCTCATTCCTCCTATAATGCAAATTATTGAGGCATTGCAGCCCTCGCTGAGGCTTGGAATGAGGCTTGGGGACCTGCTACCACTTCTGCTGGGAATCACTTAAAAGCTAGTTAAATTGTTTAATTGTTCTTTAAACGAGGGTATCCATCCGAAGAGCGACTGGTTGAGGATCACTGACTTCCAACAATGGCTGTAAATATCACAGCTCTAAGGGAAATGAGGCTTGTTGCTTCTTGGACTTATTTTACTCGGGCTGAAGCATAATCCTCCAGCAGCCACCTGGTGGCAGCCGGGAGATGAGCAGGACAGGATGAGAAATAGCAGGGGCAGCAGAGAGGGACCAGGCTTCCCAGTTGGGTATGAATTCCAACCCAGATTTCTCCAATGACCTGCTGCAGGGTATTGGGCAAGGAATTTAAGTCTCCGTGAGGCTCATTACCCCCTTCTCTAAAATGGGGATACTGTTTTGGGGGTTATTGTGAAAATTAAATCAGGTAAAGCCTGCAAAGCAACTGGCACATCATCAGCACTCAATTAGTGGAATTATTATTGTGTTCATATGTATGATTGCCCTGGTCCCCTTCCAAATTCAAATAATTCTGAAACTAGCAAATGCTGCTGAACTACGGAGGCTTCAGCTTTGGAGAGAGATATTGGGCAAAGTCTCTTTTATACTATCACGCTACCATCCTAATGTCAGGAGGCATTAAGTATTAGGATCTAATGGGGCCCCATGGTCATCCAAAGTGGGACTTATGGTTTCTGTCTGTATCTGGAAGTTGAGAGCAAAACCTCTGACCAGCATTTTATTTTATTAATAGACTTCATTTTTTTTAGAGCAGTTTTAGGTTCACAGCAAAATTGAGTGGAAAGTGCACAGAGTTCCCATATACCCCCTGCCACCTAATACGCACAGCCTCCTTATTTTTGTCAATGTAAATAACCAACTATTCCTATTTTCTAAGATACAATTAAAAATCAGAGATACAAATAAGTATTATATGGTCTTGAGATATAGTAGCTATGTGTATTTATGGGAACGTTAGAATTCCTTTTATTCTTCCCACTCATTTGTGAACAAATCAGCCCATTCCTGAGGCTTCTGCAAATTGCCCGGAGTCGCTCCCCATGCCCTTGTACATAAATACTTTCCTGGATACAGAGGGCAATCAGCAGAGGCCTGAGACAGCAGAGCCCCTCAGAGAAGCCCTTCACGCTTTCAGCAAATCACTAAGCACATACCGTGTGTTCTGGGCAGGCCTGGGCATACCAGTGGTGAAAATACAGACACGGTCCTCCCTGCATGGAGCTTGTTGTCTGATGAGAGAATGCTGCTTCCCTGTGTTATTGGAGTGACCTGTGCTGCAAAGCCTGTCGGGGAAAATGATGGGCTAGAATCCTGCTTTGGTGGCTGCTCATCCCCAGAGATTTTTTTTTTTTGTAAACTATTCTTTGTATGTTAGAAAGAAAAAGTGTGGATAGACACTAATAGAAGGAAATGTGGATGATCTTGAAATGTCCTAGATCTGGGACCTGGCCACTGATGTTGTCCTGTGTGCCTTTCTGCAGGCCTCGGCAGCGGGATGGCCTACCTGCCGGCCGTCGTCATGGTGGGCAGGTATTTTCAGAAGAGGCGAGCCCTGGCCCAGGGCCTCAGCACCACGGGGACGGGATTTGGCACGTTCCTCATGACAGTGTTGCTGAAGTACCTGTGCGCAGAGTATGGGTGGCGCAATGCCATGATCATCCAGGGTGCCGTGTCCTTAAACCTGTGCGTGTGCGGGGCGCTCATGCGGCCACTGTCCCCGGGGAAGGATGCCAGTGGCCTGGGAGGGAAGTCTGTGAAGTCCACGGGACAGCTGGGCGGAACCGAAGACAAGGACGGCGGGCCCGGGAATGAGGACGCCCTGTGTGACCTCCAAGCCCCGGAGGGCCAGGGTCAAGGCCGCCAGGGGAAGAACATGTGCGCCTTCCGGATGCTGAAGGCCGTGAGCCAGCTCACCCTGAGAGTCAGGAAGGGCTTCGGGGACTGGTACTCAGGCTATTTCGGCACAGCCTCGCTCTTTACTAACCGGATGTTTGTAGCCTTTATTTTCTGGGCTCTGTTTGCATACTGTAGCTTTGTCATCCCCTTCATTCACCTCCCAGAAATAGTCAATCTGTATAATTTATCGGAGCAAAACGATGTTTTTCCTCTGACTTCAATTATAGCAATAGTCCATATCTTTGGAAAAGTGATCCTGGGCATCGTGGCCGACTTACCTTGCATCAGCGTCTGGAATGTCTTCCTGCTGGCCAACTTCACCTTCGTCCTCAGTATTTTTATTTTGCCACTGATGCACACGTATGTTGGCCTGGCTGTCATCTGTGCATTGTTAGGGTTTTCCAGTGGTTTCTTCTCCCTGATGCCCGTGGTGACTGAAGACTTGGTGGGCATTGAACACCTGGCCAACGCCTATGGCATCATCATCTGTGCTAATGGCATCTCTGCGCTGCTGGGGCCGCCTTTTGCAGGTAAACTCTCCAAGGTTTTATGAACTTAGAGTGCACCAAGATGGTTAGGGTGTGTTCTCATTAATGTTATGAAGTCCTAGACAGATGAGGAAGTTTCCATGTATAGACATGCTCCTTTTTTCTTCCCATTCCTGCCTCTTAATTGCTCACTTATAAATTTTACCAAGTGAAGGGCCATTCTTTCACAGAGAATGTATATGAACTTTTGATCTTTATTGGTATGGTAAAGTGGCCAGGCCGGTAAAGTGAGGAAATAAAGCAGATAGGGCGATGGAATACTTCAGGGCCCCTGCCCGATCTGAAGAAGGCAGCCTCTGCCAGCTGTACCTGATTTCTGTCACTAAGTACTGAGAACTGTTACCAGATCTTTTGTTGTTGTTTTCTCCTCCAAGAGAAGCTGGGAATCTGGGTGGCATTTCCAGATTTTCAAACCACTGTGCATAGGTCCAACAGATCACCTCTATTAGCTGGACCTAGTCCTATGGCTGCTGGAATAAATTGCCATAAACTTAGTGGCTTAAAACAATACAGATTTATTATCTTACTGTGCTAGAGGTCACAAGTCCAAAGTGGGTCACACTGAGCTAAAATCAAGGTGTCAGCAGAGCAGCACTGCTCCTGGGGGCTCTAGAAGGAGATATATTTCCTTGCCTTTTCCAGCTTCTAGCAGCTACCTGCATTCCTTGGCTCATGGCCCCTTCTTCCATCTTCTAAGCCAGTAGCAGCTTCCCAGCTTTCTCTGATTCAGAGTCCCTGCCTCCTCCTTTCACTTAAAAGTATGCCCATGAGTACATTGGGCCCACCTGAATAATCCAAGATAATTTCCTCATCTCAAGGTCCTTAACTTCATCAAGCCTGCAGAGTCCCTTTTGCCATGTAAGGTCACATATTCACAGGGTCCAGGGATTAGAACATGGGCATATTTGGGGGCAGAGGCATTCTGCCTCCCACAGGCCTAGAGGCCACTCACTGGCAACATCTAGGGTAAGATCTCTTCCATGTATTCAGTTCACCAGAGAATCTGCTTCTTGCAGTGGGCTTACCAGAAGTTATGGTCACCGAAGAGTTTTGTGTCTGAGCCAGTACCTCTCAACCTGTCTTTCTGAGCAGGCTTTAGGCTTTGTGGGAAGGCAAGTCAGGGTTGGGAAGATAGGCTCAATACCCAAGATGCCAGGTACTGGGTGAAGGTGACAAAGTCTATCATCTGTCCAAGAATTGGAAGCAGGGGCTGGGGCCAAACATCAACACAAAGGTACTCTCTGGAGGTGGCTGTCAGGGTGGCTAGCCAGGGCTGGTGGTGACTGTCAGAGCTGCCAGAGGTTTTGTGCAGTGTTTCAAGCTAACCCAGGAGAGCCTCACCTGGTCAGATGTCCCCTCCCTCAACACCCCTGCCTTTCTGGCTCCTCTGGACCCATGGGTGCATGTAGATAGTAGACAAGGCCCTCCTTGCCCCTTCCATCCCAGTCTCTTTATAAATCCTAAGGTCATCTCCTCTCTTAGGACCTCACTGGCAGAGGGCTTGTGCCAGCAAAACCCATTTTTATGTCCCCCTTTGAAGATGAAATTCAAGAAACCATGGATTTTTGTCTGTACAGCTGACAACACTGGCAGCTGGCTGCNCTCACTGGCAGAGGGCTTGTGCCAGCAAAACCCATTTTTATGTCCCCCTTTGAAGATGAAATTCAAGAAACCATGGATTTTTGTCTGTACAGCTGACAACACTGGCAGCTGGCTGCCTACAGGTTTAAGGCCCAAGAATCACTTTAGGAAACCCAGTGTCTATATACGGAGCAACTCCTGGATCAAGCTGCGCCTGTTCTCTGCCTGTGCACAGAGATGCAGATATAGCATTTTTAGATGACAGTGAATAACTGTAGCAGTGCAGCAAACTATATTGTAGCTGAAAGGTCTAAAACTGCTCACTGATCTCATTGTGTAGAATTCTCTGTCAGTTACAGTCTGGCTGGTTAGCTCAGTTGGTTAGAGCAAAGTATTATAACACCAATGTCTAGGGTTTGGATCATCATCCTGGCCAGCCACACAAATAAATAAATAAATAAAAATTCTTTAATAGGATTGTATTTGGTTATAAGAGAAACTCTCATATGATAGTTTGAGCAGAGATTTAATTGTGTCATGCAGCAGAAGTATAGAGTACGGGGACTGGATGATGTTGGAACAGTATCTCTGAGATCTTCTTGGCCTTTTCCTCATGCTACTTGCCTCATGATCACACAATGGCTGCTGTAGCTCCATCCACTACATCACCACTTATAACAAGGAGAAAGAAGGTGGGAAAGCTCAATCCCAGCAGACTTCCACTTACATCTGATTGGCCAGAACTGTGTCATGCAGGTAGTCCAAGCTTTAAGGGGAGCTGTGAATTGGAGTATTTTGCTTTCCAGTTTCTGTACTAGAGGAAGGAAAGGAGAAAAGAATTGGAATTGGGGGTTGAATCGGTCCCACCAATGGTACGTGATAGAGATGTTAAACTTAAATATCCATTGAGGGCATGGGAACATTAGTAGTGGCTCCTCTACCACTACTAATGTCCTTCAGGTTGGAGGACCTTAGTAGTTGGAGGTCCTTCAGGTACATCGTATGTGGAAATGGAATCTGTCATTGATGGTGCTTTGCATGATCCAGGGATACTTTCTGCTTCTAATGGTCAGCGTGGGGTTATTTTATACCGATCCATCAGATTTCAGTAGCAGCATCACAGCACAGCTGCGAGGTTCATGATCAATGTTAATGAAAGCACTAAAGTCTGCCAGCATGGTTTCCTCATCCCATTTCTATGGTCTTGTCATTCTCGCTCATTTGCATTCAAGGGGGCTTTCTTGAGTGGACGAGAAAGGAATTACAGGAGAGGACAGGGAGTTATATGCAATCATCAGTCATTAGGTGTTATCTCTGCCTGCTTCAAGGTTTCTCCCTAGAAGGAGAAGTAGATCCTGTAGCAGAATGTGATCCACCATGGTTGGTAGAAACCACCACATTAATGGTTGAGAATCTTCTATGAATATGTGTCAGATGCTGCTATCAGGACTCCAGAATCA